AAGAATCAAATTGACTTCAAAGTAATTCGTTTAGTAATTTCTAATAATGTTTAGCACAATAAATGTTAAACATACGAAAGCATTGCTGGCGATAAGAGCGAATTTAACAATTCATTTGTCAAGAATTTTTTAACACAAAATGATCTTGTCAAATTATTAATCTGATAAAAATCAAAAATTTGCATTAAAAGATCAGAAAGGACCACGAATCAAAAGGCCAAGAAGAAAACGAATGAAATATACTTACAAAAAATATTTATACGCCGTTATATTTATCGCAACAAAAATAAAATTAAAGAAAACCATTACGCTTCTCGAAATTATACTCTCTATTTATTTTAACGAATTTATTTCCTACGTTTCTTGAATCTTTTCTTATTTTCATCGCAAAGAAGAACACAAGCAAGATATTTTCAGTCGCCCATTACAAAATAATATTTCTTCCAACTTTGATTTTCTTCTTCTTCTTCTCCCCGCCGAAATCCATCATCATCCCCCTCCATAACAAAAATTCCAAAGCAATCCTGATCATCTCGTAAACGTCCATCTCAATGGACAACGCAATTACCTCTCCTTATTTACGCGACTGTGAAAGTGCGCTTTAACGGGTGGAAGATAGCGTGAATGAACACTAAACGTCCATCCGCTCCGCGAGCCGTTCATTAAGAGGGGGTGGAAACTATGAAAAAAAAAATCACGTATCATCGTGAAACGAAGCGTGGAGAGTGAACAGTAACCTTCTGAAAACGAGAGTTGAGAAGAGTTGAAAGGGAGGAAGACGTTTCTTTTCATATTAGCCCCGTTTCGAGAGGGCCTTGGTTCTAGGTCGAACAGGAGGCAAGGAAAGACGTCCGTGGCGTGATAAAGATTTTTATGGGCGGCGTAAATCTTGCAACGGGTGCAAGAAGCGATCGTAGGAATCGTGAAAGCCAATTCCCTAATGACTCTGATTTATCACCAACGGTTTGTTCCGGTAACTCGTTATACCATGCAACTCGCGCCACGAGGTCTCAGAAGACCTCACGCGATTGTGAACAACATCGGTTCTTCTTGTGTAACACGTCGAGTAGCCGTGTTTTTCGTCCCCTTCTCTCTGCGCCGAATCTTATTTTTTTACGCTTCTAGGTTATAGGGGTTTTTTTTTTTTTATGTTTTTCTTTCTTGCTTAATTTTAAAGTTTTACGACAAGTTTTTAATGATTAGATGCCGTAGTGATATCGTAGCGAAGCTTGTACCAAGCTTTTTATGTCTATTAAACGATCGTGTTTCGTAAGATTCTTCTGCGCGCCAAATTATACATGTTTTTCACTAGTCGTTATCTTTTTATACAGGCAATAAGTCAATGCTGAAGTTTATGACGAACTTTAACGATGATATGACAACAGTAATAATTTTACGTTATTGTGGAAATCGAAATTTCGTTAGATTTCTGGCGCGTCGAAATTCATATTTTTTTTTTTAAAAATGCTCGATCGATTTTAAGATTCACGACAAATTTTGCTGCGACGATTTCAAATTGCAACGAATCGTTAAATATATCTCGAATGTATCCTAATTTTTCACTCTAATTTCTTAAATCTTAACACTTAGAAAGTTATCCACAGTTTTCATCCCAAATTATCAACTATTCAACCATTGATAACCATTTCAAACGTCTGTTAACTAAGTACAAAAGCGTGGTGTGGTTCGTTCGAGGAGAAAGAGCCGAGCGACGAGCCTTTTGAAACAGTTAGATCCCTGCGATCAAATAAAACCGGTGACAAATTGACGCGTGCGATAAAAAGAATTTTCTCAGAGAGAAAGCAGCAGTTGTTGCTACGAGCATAGGCGACCAAACAGACTATGATTATTTCCACGCCGCGTTCCGGTCAAAATAAACATTTTATTACTATTTACTTTCCATAGTAAATTGACCAAGAAACGCTTCTCATTCTCTCTCTCATTTTTTCTTATATTCAATCTTTATATATAACCTGTTACTGTTCATTTCTCTATTGATAATCAATTTAACGATCTAGCTAAAAGCTTTTACGAAAGGAAATAGTGAACTGGAAAGACTTATACGTTCTTTAAGATCAATAAAATTGATTCTTTCAAACACTGAAGAAATGTGACACTTGAATAACGATCGTATTCAGTGAAAACATCCTTGAATTGTTTAAAAGCTAGGTTATATATAAGAGACAATTCGTTCACGTTATAATTAATGCAAACATCCTAACAGGAAAGTCTTTAATCGTTAAACGTGAAAAGATTGATATTAAACACATTTAATTAAATACTTGCAATTAATGCATTTATAAAAAATTTACATACACAATACATGTAGTGTAAAAGAATATTGTAATTATATCTTCTTTCTTTATATTACAGTTAACGAATAGAGTAAAGTCTATTTTTGATTATTCAAGTAACCATTGATCTAAATAATTATCTCATCACATTTCGTTTTGTTTAAAATATAAATTTTTTCAGAGTTATATCATACAATATATAATTCAATCACTTGAATTAAAGTGAAATTTCTTTTCAAATATAATGTAATCTAATTTTTCTAATCTCTCTGCTTATTTTTATCTTTTTATTGGATTACATAATTTCAATGACGAAAAACAATAAATAATATTATTGCAACCAATTGCTATTATTTCATGTTAATTAATTACCTAAACATAACATACAATAAATATTTAATACCATTGTTTTTATACTTATAAAATGATTTGATAAGAATCCAATGAATAATTAAACACGAATATGAAATACAATTAGATCATGGAATGAATCTATATCGTGATATAGATAATATAATCTGTATTAACCAATTGTTTTATTTTGGAATATAAATCTGTCATGGGATGAGAAGAAATAAATAAAAAATATGCATCGGAGAAGATGTTATCTCCAAAAGATTTTTAAGGAGAATAGCGATACTTTGACTCATTGTAAAAAATCCGCACTAATGGACAGGGCTAGACTAATAATCCGTCCTTAAGCCAGGTAACATGTTATTAAGTGGGCGTTCACGCATCTCGAGGATTTTCTACACCGATGACATCGCCATTGAAACGAAATGTAATCAAAAGATTCGCATAAATCTGCCAAAATATTACTTTCTCAAGTATTTTTGATCAACATCAATGGATTAATTATTAAAATTAATACTATTTATGATATAAATTATGGAGAACTGCTCATAAATTGTGTTTGATGGTAATGATAATTGATCGTAATTCACGGTAAATGGACGAAGATTTAATCAATTTTATAAGCGAAATAATCGAATCTGTCAATTTATAAAAACATTTTCATTATCCGTTATGATAAATAATTGGAGGCACGATTTTGAACATCGTCTTTCGCCGTCGAGATTTTGTTTTTCCATGATTTAGAAATCAATTTCGTGATTTTACGACGTTAATTTAAATCCATGTGCACGAGCGATACGTTTCATGGAAATCTCACTATACGTGATAAAAAGATCGATTTATGAATATTTAAGTGTACGTTGAATATTTAATGGCTGTATAATACTAATAATCAGTTTCTCCGTCCTCCACCACATATACGATATATACGTAGTTGTGTTCTACGCATAGCATCCAAGATCGCTATGACACAAAATTTCGAACCTCACCCGTGGAACACACAACGAGTGAAAGATAAAAGCTCTCTTCTCTGGAAAATTTCGTAACATACGAGGAATTCACGTCTCATAGCAAACGGTACTTCACTCGGAACGGCAAAACGGAATTCGTCGTCACAGACGGATAGGAAAGTGCAAAATGTCCCGGCTACGTTGCCGTGTCTATTTTCATCCTACATGTTTTAGATGCTCCACTATTGAATCCGACAGGCGAAACGAGTTGCGCATCGACTTGATGGTAGAAGAACAGAATATATGAACCGAGAGGACTGATGTTACATGGTGTTGTTGGACAACGTGAGGTATTAGTCTTCTATTTTTTTTTTCTTTTTACAACGTCTTGTTAAGATTTTAACTTTCTTTACATAAACTTTATGTAGAGCAGATTAGTTTATCTTGTTTCATTTGTTTATTTTATTGTTTTGTGAATCTGTTATGTGATATATAGATTTAATTAAAGAATAATTTAATCTTTTTTAAAATCAAATTTTTATAGGAGAAACAATTATTTTTAATTAATTATTGACAATGGAAAAGTATTTTCTTGTGATATTATTTATTACTATATTGCACATAAGTAATATTAAATGATGAAAGAGTTAATATTTTAAAATGTACGTAAAATTTACTTACACGAATTTAAATTAATTGTTAATGAAAATGTGTCATATCATGATAAAAATAAAAAGATAATTTTTCAAGAAATAATTCGATAAAATATTTATAATCAATTATCTTTTTTTCGAATTATTTTAAAAATGACAAAAAATTAGACAATTTGATTATATAGGTTAAGTACAATGAGATATTATAATTTATAATTTCGAAGTTCTTTGAATATGTTTTAATTAAATTATTATGCATTATTATTAAAGATTTTTTATTAAATAACGACTATTCAGATAGTTTTTTTTAGAATTGAAAGAAGGAAGAATGTGTAGTTGAATGATTTACTATAATAAATCGAGACAAGAAAATTATAGAGAAAATTTCTGCACCTACCGTGCAATTTAACAGACAGGTTATGTTGCAAAGATTTTATCTTGAATTACGTGTCTCTGCTTTATTGATTTCATTGCTAACCAACGGCCTCAGTTAATTTGATATATGATCTCCATAAATGCAGAAACTTAACTAATCAAACTTTAAAAATTGTTTCCGATTAAATTTCTTCTTAAATAGGAAGCATTTTATTCAAAATCAAACTTGTGAATCGATGAATCATTCAATATTATCGATCAATCATATTTTATACGCACAATTTTAAAATTAATCCAATAAATGAATCAAAAATCTAACTAGTCAAGTCTAAAAAATTTTAAAATTATCTTTGAAAAATTTAAAAATTATTTCCACTAAATTTCAAATAGCCAAGCACTTCGATCAAAATCAAATCAACAAAACCTCACGAAATCACATCAACCAATGAAATACCACTTAATCGACAAATTGTCCAATATTATTGATCAATCATATTTTGTATCGCACAATTCCAAAGTTTTATTTAATCCAATAAGTAAATCAATTTCATAAATGCAAAAATCTAACCTTAAAAATCAGCACTGACAAAAATCTTCCCAAAGCCAATCACTCTCGATCAATCGCAAATTACACTTAAATATCGTTTCATCGACAAACCGTCAATGTTAAACTCGGATCACTTCTCATCGATCAGTCATTAATGTCAACTATCCACTATAAATACTTCTTCCGAATAAAACCAAAATTATCGTAAAAAGAATGGTATCAAAGTAACTCGAACGAGGGTGCTCGAATGTCGTATAAAATAATTTACAGTTCGTCTATGCAAAGTATAACCACCAGCAAAGTATGTGAATGTGCGTCGATATGCGGCGTCTTGCTTGACCAACGATGCAAGACGAGTCGATAGGCTTATCGATTAGTCGACGCGGTCCATCGCGGAATGTCAGTATCGAACAGCGGCGATTGCTGTCCGATATCTAGTCGATATCTAGTCGATTTCCAGCCAATTCATGGTAGTTGGATGATTCAGGGGAACGTTGACTGTGAGCTCGCCCCTGGCGCCGTGGCCTGTTTAATTTTAGGGTATTACGCGTGCAGGCGGCAGCCTGGTCGAGGCTAAAGGGTACCTCTGCCTCGGTATTTGCCAAGATATTATCGTGAAAAAGGGAAAGGAGAGAAGCAGTGGGTAACGAGGAGGGCGTGTCCGTTGGTTCGAGACGAGCCTCTAGGATGCATCCGACACTGTTTCGCGAATTAGCCCCGTCTCGAATCATCGTGGCCCATCAGGGAAATCGTCGTGACTCGGGGTTGCTAGGCAATACGTCGAATGGGTATCCTGTTCTTTGGAATTGTGCGAATCGGTTCAATGCCTTTGCCAATGATGGTTCTCTGAACCAGTGTTTCTCAACTTGTGGATCGTGATTCTTAAAAAAATCAGGTGAAGAGTTTTGAAAAGAGTATTATTTATATAGAAAATTATATTGGAAAGTATGAAAATATGATAAATGGAAGTAATTTGAAAATAGTAAAATATTTTGAGATTCAAGAATTCAATATTCAGTTTTAAATTCCTTTTTTTAAATATTCATTGAAAAATTGTGTTTGATAATATTTCTAGGTTAAATTTATTACTTTCGTATAATGTAAGTTTTGTAAGTTACAGCATAAATTGAGACACAAGTTAAATAGAAATGTAAAATGCGGTGATAAAATACTGATAGAAATAGGTTTTGTAAATAGAAGAGAAATTTTAAACGGAATACGTGCATAAAATATGCAAGGTGACAGAGAAAGTGCAGCTATCCTGATGAAAAATCAATATCAGATAGAAAAGGAACAAAAGTAAGAATTTGTAAATTTTATATTTTTCTTTTGAATCTCATCCAAAATAAATTTATTATATATTCTTCATTTAATTTTTTATAAATTTATTGCTTATTTTTTTATAAACATTAGTAAATATTTTAATATAACGAATAAATAAATAAAAATAATTTTATATTGAAAATTTCTCTAAAATAAAAAATAAATATTAATTTTCGTATTAATTTTTACTATTTTTTACTTTATTACTATTTTTATACAAACGATTTTTTAATAATAAAAAAAATAATTTTACATTTCAGATTTCTTCAAATTAAAAAAAAAAATGTTAAAATAATTTGCATATACTACAATTAAAAACAAATCAGAAATCATACTTGAATTATCGAGGCGCTGATTTTTTATCTACGGATGAAATCATATAATACGATTATGATATTTGCATACATTTCTTTCTCGTTGCAAGCGATTGATATTCTCCAATGTAAATGAAACTTTCTATTCGAATTGATCATTTCTGATTCGTGGTTCCAAGAGAAAAATGAGGCATGTTTTTTTTTTTTGCAAAAATCCATACACAATAATTTTCATTATGATTGCATATGTTTTTGTATGTTTTTGTATTGCAATTGATAACAATTAGTCGCCTAGATCATTATTTATTTGTTGTATTTGCCATAAAAAAATATTTAATCTAATTTTTTTATCTAAACTGTAAATGATAATAGTTACAAAATTTTTCAATAATTTAAATCATAAATAATTTTAAGATTGGTCTATAATCAATCTATCTATTATTAAAATCTTTACTTATTCTTAGAATTATTTAAATTTCTATTTATTTAAAGTATTGATTTAGAAAATGTAAAATTGCAATCATAATATGACATAGATATTTTAAATTATATGCATAGTTATACTATTTATATGTTACATATTCTATCTGATTAAAATTAACATTAGAAATTAATTTTTTTTTCAAATTTTTTGTTTTTGTGTAATATTTAAACAATTATTATAGATCAATTTTAATATTAAACTAGATATATAGAATTAAAAGTCAATAAAAATTCGATTATCAAAAAATCAGTTTTATCAGTTTTGAAAGTAAAGAAACGTGATAAAATTAAATTTTTACTATCTTAAGTTATGAATTAATACCATTTATTTAACGTTCATAAATTCATATTTATAAACAAGCAATTTGATCGATAGACAATTGTATTCAATACAGATATAAATCTAATCAGATAATCATTATAAATAATATTTGTAAAAAGACCCGAAGGAGTAAAGATACAATATCTTAATATACGAAAACCTTTTCAGCATTTCCATAGATCAATCTCTCGAAGTAGAAAGAACGAGCGGCCTATAAGAAATATCGACAGGAATGATTATTGGCAAATAACCGGAGGTATAATTATATATCAGAGGATGTATATATACTATGAAACGACGCACCGCTGAAAGTTCGGTATATTTAACAGTGGCCGCACGTATGAGATATAAGTTTGATATCGAAGTTGCGTGCAGAATCACCGAATTATCGACTTGCAGCGATCGAAGTGTGAAGCGTGCCGACGATCGTGCGTCGAATTTATAATCGATTTTTTGTAAGTCTTGAGAAACTAGTATCCATTCGTTTCAAAATTCAACGAGTTTATTCAATTGTAAGTTGTAGAAAGGATAAAATATCGTTAAATTATTTGTATTTTAATTATTAATGAATTATTTTTATTTTTGTAGACATTTATCCTATCTATTTAAAAGTTTAGATATTTAAAACTCAAATTAAATGGAAATTAGATACATATGGCATATGAATGCTGAATAATTGCAAGTATAAAACAAGTTTAGCAAAAAAAGAAAAAATAAAAAATTAGAATAATGATATCATTTATTTACAAATTGCATGGATGATTAATGTATTATTTCTCAACATCTATGATTGTTTGTGATATATATATTTATATATATTGATGATATTGATGATGTTCAAGATATTATTCAAGAAAACATTAATCACATTAGCCTATAATAAAAATATTAATAAAAATAAGTTTAATAAAAATAGAAAAGTTCCATTATGAAGAATCAGATTATCATTGAAAATATCATTAAAAATTAATTGTCTGGAACAAAAAAATTGGAATCTAAAAATCTAATCTTCAGATACTCAAATAATTAATCTCTAAACATAGAATATTATAGAATAGATGTTTCAAATCTAAAAATGATTCATATTTCAAAAATCTATAAAACTTCCAGTTCCTCGAAACTTTTTGAAAACTTGCTTCATATCTTAAATATAAACGAATCAAATAATTTAATTTATTCATTTTTAAATGAATCAAACGTATACACATTTAAAAATTAACAAACGAGTTGAAATACAGTCAAACCTGAGAAAGTATCCTAATCGTAAATTTTACAAGATTAGTCATGCTTGCACATTCAATAATGGTCCATTGATAAAAATCTGATACAGATGCAAGTGTAATTACGTAAGAAGAATGATCTATTATCTTTCTATAACTATGAACAGTTGTTAAATTTAACAAAAATCATAATCTGCCTCTATAAATCTGGTCGGCTTAGTTCTTAAGAACTTTATCTCGAAAGAGTGAACGAATGGAAGGAACTACATGTTTTAATCGAACTCTAAGTCTGATGTAAGTACTAGCTAAAAGTCTCTCGTTCTTTGCTTTATATCGGTGTTAAATCTTTCTTAAGATAACACTGTTCTACCAGTTTCTACATTCCTTCTCGAGAAGAAAATTTACAAGTGGCAAGTAAATTCTAGGGTGGATATTTCCTTAAAACATGCTTAAACTATTCTTAGAACAAGAACATGGATAATTGAAGCGGATGCAATCGCGAGAACCGAGTGCCGAAACGAGTCTTAAACAAGTTCGAAAGATAAAGACTCCATAATGCTTGGCAAGATGAATCGTACCATATATGAAGTGTGAAACCTCAAACGTCACATTTTATAGCTCATTTTGTTACTCTTTATTATTCATTGACATCCATCCTTGTTAACTTTTAAGTATCCAAGACTAGTTGTCTTACTAGAGATATGTAACAGAAAGATATCTATAAATATCTCGTCAAATATACTCGATTTTTTTTCTTAATGATTGACCTTTCACTAGAGATGGAACGTTACAAATCTCAGGATTTTGAAATCTTTCATAAAATTTTCAAGTTCTTTGAAATTTTTTGCTACTTTTGTAATTCAAAAGTAAAAAAAATATCAAATTTATATAAATAATACATGAGGATATTGCGATGAAGTTATTCAAATGAGTTTGTAAAAAGATTTTAAACCGATTTTAATGATTTTCCAAAGTTTCGAAACTTTACAAGGCTCCGGATTCTCAAATTCAATCAATCTTTTATTAATTTCTATATTATATATAAGAATATAAATATTATTTTATTTCTTAAATAGAATGATATTCTGTAACATAATAAAATTAATTAATTTTTTATACATATTTATATAATTTGAAACTCATACATGTTAACATATAAATAATTTATAAATTTAAAATATAAACTATTTTTCTATTTAGAAAATCTATTTTTATTATATTCAAAAAAGAATTTTAGTCCCTTGATTTAACTTATCACATACAGTATCACATACTTACAATGAAAAATCTAAACTGAAAGATTATTTTTAACAGATTAAAATGGATACAATATTTCTTGTAGATAAAAATCCCGAGATCTAAATTAAGTTTCTTCTTCTTTTAATAATTTTCAAACATGATTGTACATGCGGGCTTAAAGCCACACTTTTAAATCTAACATATGTTTTTAAAACGTTTCCCGAAACGAAAATAATATTCTGAAAAAACCAAGGCGGTGTTAATATCTGCGGAATTAAAAGGAATCCGGTAATTCGCGTGACTCCGCGTTAAAATTTTTTTCCTGCTATTTTTAGAGCGGCGCCCTGTGTAGTGCGACCAGTATCTCCGCGCCTGGTGCATCGAACCTCGCGATCGGTTCCAAGATTGAGATAAGCAGCTTGCGAAGAAATAAGTAGTTTAAGCCTGTTCGCGTGGCCGGAGATTGGTCTGACGTCGTCATGGAACCGAGAAGTGGGGATGTTTTATGCATGGACCCCGCGTTATGCATCATTCCAGGTGCATCTCGAACAGAACCCGTCGAACTCTGGCTCCGTGCAAAGGACATGTTGTTACGCTCGATCGATGAAGTGTGTTTCCAATAGTAAAATATTGATTACATCCAATTGAAGAGGTGGCCGCAAAATCACGATGATTTGTCAAATACTTTCAATTTTGGATTCGTAAATGCATCAAATGATAAATCAATGTGTAATTACTTCGATGAAGTGTTAAATACAAAAATATATTTATATAGGATGATTCCTGAAAATATACAAAAAATTAATTAAGTGTTGTGCAAAAATTTTGAAATAAATTGTGATCGAATAATAAATAAACATATTATCTTTAAATTTGCGTACAATAGCTTTACAAAGATTATAGGAGAGCAGATTGAAGAGTAAGTTCATTCACGACTGAAACGAAGCGCACAAGCAACTTTTCTAAAATACAGGAATTGGTTGCGTGACGGTCGATCTTCGGCAACGGGGATGTTGGATAGAAGCATGTTGGTGGGGAAACGTTTCAGGGAGAGTGGGGGCGTGCGTTACGCAGGATTTAGGGTTCTACGTGGTGGTGAGGAGCCTCGACAGCACGGTACTCGTGCCGTGGTGGAGAAGCAACCGACAGCAGCACCAGCGTACACGGTTTCGCCGTTGCGGAGAAGCCTCGCTGCTCTCGGACAGAGCAGTCTGCAGCGATCATCGGCCCTCACGGTGTTCCGTATGGCCATGCGTCGTTCCAACTTTTCTGACACTACGTCAAAATTTATCATCGACCCTGCGCAAAATTCCGTCGCCTGCAACGTAACCGAGGACACTTTGAAACCGAGGTTCGAAGTATATCATCGAAAGAATACCGGAGAACGGGATTCCGCTTCCAGACTAGAGATCGTCGATCGACGATTAAGAGACATTTTTATCGGAAAGTTGATCGCTTTTGATATACGCGGTGATGAGAAGATAGAAAAAGATACGATTAATGAAATCGTAACGAACTCTGCGTTATTCATTAATGCTTGCTTAAAGAAATTCTTCAACGAGAGAAACATAACCTTACTCAATAGCGACAAACTTTCGCGAAAGTGGCGTATAAAAAGCAAACTTACCATCGTTCTCGATTGGAATATCGAGAATACTTTTTTCGATAATATCGTTTTATCCAGAAAGTGTCAACATAAAGAGGACGATATTGGTGAAATTATAAACGGTTTGAAGTTCTCGAGCGGTGTTGTTAAACCGAAACGAGATATTCTTAATAACAAAGTTGCACATTTCGTCGAAAGAAAAAGCAAAGATACCATATTTATCGAAAATATTGAACACATTGTAGCTATTGACGTTCTTTTCATTGTTTATATTAGCGGCTTCATAGCGACCGGCATACACATTGCAACCGCATACGCACCCCGAACTTGCCACGTTTCGCATGCGGGAGGACCAACTCGCACGTACGGTCCACCTATCGCTTCACAACTCGACGATCGAGTCAGTGTTACTCTTGATTTCCACGCGAGCGCCGGTCCCGGCTTACCGGGGACGATACCAACGCTCTACTTCATTCATTTTCGACGATTCTCCGCGTTTCTGTCGTCTCGAGTTCGGACCTTTCGAGCCGACTATCGAGAAATCGATCGAAGTGAATTTTCCTTAAAATCGACGCGTAATCGATACGAGTTGCCAACTTTACAGTGGAACGTTCGCGTCGTGTGAAGGAACATTGAGAAAATGTTCAGTGCCGTAAATTTATGGAGTTTTTTTTTCAATAATTATATATTCATATCGGAGAAATATTCTGAAAAATTTCGAAAACATCTATTGTAATCATTCAAATTTATTCGGTGAATATATTAAAAATAGTAATCTTTAGATCGAATTATATGTAAATAGACGATAAAAATTGAACGTTACACGAAGTGTTGAGTTTCAAAGTGTTCAGAGTGAATTTGGTGACACGGTTATTCGTCGAAGAAAAATAAATTTTTTATAAATGACATTTTAGAAGAACTTTGTCGTTGAACTAGATTAAAGTGTTCGCTTCTTTATTAAACCACAAATCGTCTAACGACATATACACGAGATAAACCGTTATCTAAGTAATGTGTACTGCGATTTGTATCGATTCGATAAATGTAATTCTTTCGTTATTTTCACGTCTGAGAAGAAATTAAATTATCCGTGAGTTTTATATTTCTTCACGTTTCTTATCAAAGACATATGTCGTTTCAAACAATTATCTATGTTGTTTTCCATGAGAAGTATCGAACGCGTCCGTGAATTGAAATCAGTGTTCGTTTCGTATACATTTCGTGTTAATGTGATGTAGTCTGGTGCGAAAATCATGAAATGAAAAAAACATTTGGAATGGTTACGTAGATAATCAACGATCGTCATTATGCATTGAACGGACGAATAGTGATTTCTCATAGAAGAAAGTGAAAATATTGCGAGTGGCGCCAATATTAATTTCTTTTGATATATGGTGCAGTGTCGATACCGTCGTAATTATTCATAGCAATCTTAGCGAAGATCGATATACGTTGCATAACAGTCAGAAATTACCACTCTTGATATATAAACATGCATAACATTGGAATTGTCTGAATTTGAATACATAATATATCCGTTGAAGAATAATAAGAGAATAATAAACAAGAAAAATCAATATATAAATTAATATATTCTAAAAGTTATCGGATATATTTTATTGGATGGATACAAAAAGAAAAACATAACTGACTTTGCAAGAAAATTCAGAGAATTTCTCGAGATGGATCAAAATATAAACTAAAGCTTCGAATCGATGGATGACAAACATTCTACGTAATCTCTTCGTACCGGCCATCATCCCCTCGCACACCGTCCAAATGACTCGTCCCAGTCGTCGTCTAAGACGCGTAGAATAATCGTTATTATCAGGAACGGTCGACAGCGACGAGATAACGCGGTCGAGAAACCAACCGAGCAGATCAGATTGCGATCGATCTCGAGAAACGAAAATTATAGGAGATCCGAAGCACCTTGTGCCGGTAATTCTATTATTGCTGGGAGGCAAATTTCGAACCGTATAGGATCGGAAGGAAGTAACGTATAGTCCTCGTCGTTAGCATCTTGGAACGTCATATATCTTGGCAGTAATGCGCACAAATTATGCGTCTCGTGCCTCCATGAAGCAACGGCCACTAAGAAGCGAGCAACGGTTGCACGTTTACACTTGCGGATAATTCGGCATCCATCGATTCCTTTGCCTTCCTTGCTTCCCGTTTATTCTTTTTACGCTTTTTTCGGCCATGTTTCGCTGCTTTTGACATCGTTTATTCCTGAAATTCATACACTCTGTTTTGATATTAACGTCTCTGTGGAACAGAGAGATACATTCTACGTGACGTGTGTGTCTCTTGATGCCGTCCTTGCAGCCAAACAAAAGGTGCACGCACATGTGATTGGTGTTCCTAACACATTTTTCGTTGTTCGAGGAAGCCTGTTTCGTGATCGTCGTTATTTGGCAAGTTTGCACGCCATAGTGACAACAAAATTAGAAACTGGATTACCAATTTTTATTTATGGATGGAAACGTTTTTGCAATATAAAAAATAACCAATTTGAGTATTTATCGAAATTTTTTACAATTAGCATACAATAACAGTTTGAGAAGAACAATTGAGATGTTGAAAGAAAGTGAAAACATACGATCGAATGTTTTTGAAACAATTGAAAGATCGAGAAGTTAGTGAGAATTTCTAATGCAGATTGCAACGGACTCTGTTTAAAAACTTCAAATTTAAAATTGTGTATAGTGCAATGGAAAAGTGTACAAAGGGTATTTGTTCTAAATTGAAGAGATGATAACATTGTAAAGTGAAACGTCCAGATAGAGATGAGATTATCTTAATTGGCGAGTATCGAAGGAATTCTTGTGACGCTGTCGCACAGCTGTCAGTGAAAATAGGAAACATAGAATATACCGTTATGTAGTTTATTCTAGCAAGCAACCATTCATTTACCTGGATCTCGAAAGTGAACAGACACGTGTGGAAAGTGCAATTATTTCGGATTTCGAAGATTATAAGTGCGCACATCAGTTTGACCCTGAATACTTTTAAATATTACGAAATCGACTACGTCCAAACTAATATCAAATATCTCTCTAATTGCACCAATTATATTTTATATTTTTCACACGATATTTCTCACGATAACAATTGAATTGAGATAAAATGAAATACGTATAAATAAAACGTGGATCACTAGTGAAATTGTTCAGTGAAGAATTGTTAAAGAGGAGCATAATTTCGATTCATCTTTAAAAATTATCGTCGCTGAGAAAAAAATCTCCACGTGCATATTAGGATAACATCTGTGCCTTTGAGTGATGACATTTATTATCACGAATGGTATCTACAGAATTTTATGCGACATTCGGTTTGGTGAGTAAAATACATTTTCAAATGCGTATTATATTTTCTTCGAATTTGGAAAATATATTTCCAGATTTTTTTTTTCCATTGTATGACAATATTTTGAATTGAATTACAAATATGGATCAATAGATAAAAAAATGTTTCGATTATAAAAACTATATTTTAAATTAGAATCGTAGTATATTTGCATAAATATGCAAATTCGCGTATATATAGATGTTAAATCTATATAAAATGAAATCGATCGAATATCGTTAATTTATTAAAATTATTTATTAAAATAATAATTTATTTATTTATTATAAATTAAACATACAATTTACAGAATACTTATATAAAAGTTTATTCCATAATTTTAATAAAAACATTTCATTAAATATCTCATTTTTAAATATTCATGAACATATAATGTGCACAAATATTCAAATTTCATTTCTTTGTTCTTTTATAACAATCGTATATTTTTTAACGGATACATTTAAATACATTTTTCTTATCGAAAATTAAACAATCATTTAAATTATTGTCAATTTATGTCAAAAATAATAGATTGTAAAAACAAAAGATCGATTATTATCGAATTCTCAATATCGAAACATTTTAATTTTTTTATTGAAATCAGTTGTTATTTCACGATTAATTGCAAATTATGTCTTAAAAAAACATAAAAAAAAAAAATTAAAAAAGAAACTTAACAATATAAAGATATTCAATAAAAGTTTTGAACACGATGCATCGAATACATGCATCCGTTCGTTGATTCTATTCAAATTTCGGCGAATCTGTTTCGTATTGTTTCACGACATAATGCATTTCATAACGAATTTCGTGGAACGCAATTGTAACAATTTTTATACCTTAGAAACATATTATAATATTATACCATAATTAGAACACAATGTACTTTTAACCATTATTTCGTCGCGACTCTAATGACTCAGCAGTTAGACTTCCTGTTGGCGCCAATGAAACTTTCAATGATTTATTATCAACAAAAATTTTTCCTATTGAAAATTTCTAATTAGATACTTTTTTTTAGTACAGAAACACTGATAAAATTTCTCGCAAAAAATATACTTAAATTCAATAATATATTTTGAAATAATTTCAAAATTCATCTATCACAATTGAATTTTTATATACAAATTTAGATCAATCAATATTTGTCTTAAAATATTTTTCTTAACGAGATATACGTTATTCAATTTGTCATGGCAAAAAATAGTTTCCCATTTTTTCTTTTTTTCTCTCTCGGAATAAATTCTCCTTCTCGAAATCTAATGTTTTCTATGATTATTTATCAAGATAAGTACCCTTTTACGAAACACAAACATTCACGCGATTCTTTGTTGATTAACCATTACTCTACTTACGATACCGCCGCGCAATGAAATTACCATGAATTAACATATACGATAAGAATGACGTTGGCAATCTACTTCAAACATATCCGAAAGGTATTCAATCGGTTACTATTGCGAAATTGTAACGGCCGCGTGGGATACTTTGATTTAAATTCATATGCCGACAAATTAAATATTTGTCTCAAGGGGAGGAAATTTTTTTAACTAAATATATTCGATAACATTTTGGCAAAAATGAAAATAATTCCGAAACGACGTTTTTAGAACATTTTAATTTTATTACTTATCGCGCGTATTCGATAAAACTAGCCACCCGTAAAATGATTTTAATTGATCAAGACTATATTTATATATTTTCACATCATTTTGTTTGAACTGAAAATTCAATTTACTAAAACCAGATATAATTTCCGTGCCAAATTAGCTACCGATTTTTCAACATTTCAACATCTTATTAACTTCAATATAGATTTAATAATTCACACGGTGATAATCTCGAATCTTTTTTCGTTCGAACGTCATCACAACACTTGAAATCTAATCACGCGTCGCATAATCGAGTGTTGCAGTATTTTTCTCCACGACGCTTAGATGCATCTCGAATTCAGAGAAGCTGAGCTTCTGCTAAATATATAATTCGTATGTTATATATTAGTAATCGATCGTTTCTTTCACCGGTCACAATTATTCAAAGCATTTATCGAAAGTTTCGAATTGAAGAATGATTGGAATCCTGGAAAGTTGAAATAGCTAGGTGCACGTGCGAGGCCACGTTCGCGGGGGATAATGATCGTTCTTTAATATCGGAAGAAGGAACGATAAATGGAGGCGCGGGGTATCGTAAACGGGAGATATAAGGAGCGAGAGTGTAAATCGTAGTCTTACCGTTTCTTACACGAGACACGCCCCGTTAACTCGTGGGTTAAACATTAAAC